AGCAACCCAGCCCCCAGCTCAAAAAGGTTGCCTACCCCTGAGCTAGAGGGTTGCACAGTTTGCACCCCTGCACTAAGGAATGGGTCCTTTTTAAGATGTCTCTTGTTCATGGACCTCAAAGACCTTGAGCTGATCCAGGGAGTGGGATTTACTCTAGATCAGTGATTCCCAAACTTTGGTCCTCCAAGTATTTTGGACTTCAGTTACCAGAAGTTACCTAGCCAGCTTGGCCAACAGGAATGATGGGAGCTGAAGTCCAAAACATCTGGCAGACTAAACCATTGCTAGATTAATACTAAACCAGAGATCAGAATCAGGCGGCTATCCAGATGTTTTTGGACTGCTGTTCCCAGCTTTTTTCACCACTAGCTATGCTGCCTAGGGCAACTAGAACTTGCAGTGATGGAGGTCTGCATGACTCCCCTCCTTTTCTAAAAAATTGGTCTTCCTGAGGTTTTGAACATCAAATTTCAGTAGCCTCAGCCAGCATTGCCCAGGGGTCAAGCATTCTGGGAGCTGAAGTCCAAAATATCTGGAGGACCAAACATTGAGAACCACTGCCTTGGCATATTGTAGTTTTTTCAGCTACAATCCAATGATTTCATTTAACTACCTGCCCCATCCATAGAAGCGTTGTACTTTGGTAGACATCTAACAAGTATAGCTCTTTTCTCTCTCCCCACCCACCTTTCATGCTGTGGAAAGGTTGTATATTTTACATTTTTGAGGCTGGTAAAGCTTCTACTGGAAAAGGAAATAGCAGTATTTTCATTTCCCCTGCTAGTAGCAATCCTGTACTGTACATTAGGTGGGGAATAACATTTTTATATGTGTGGACACACACACATGTGTGTCTGTCTAGATGAAGTACAGCTCCCGGTTCTGTGCTGACAGAACTTGTGTATATTATCATATCTTCACTCTTAATCAGGTGGGCGGAAATTTTTACTACTGTTTTAATCACCCTGATTAAGAAGTTCAGAACAGTGCTAAAAAGGGTGATTGAAAGCAGGCAAAATAAGTATGCAAGTTTTTATTCAAAAGGACTTTGAATTCACAGTACAACATAGAATAATAAAATGTAGAATAAAAAAATCTTACAGCATTCCTGTCCACATTTATAGAGAGGTAGATACCGTTGTCTTAAGTGGCACTTGCTTCCAGGTATGAGTAGAAAGAATTTATTCTTAATCATATGACTTCTCATTTGTTATTCAATTAAACTGATCAAACATGCTCATGAGGGAAGGTACTTTATTTTATTTTATTTTTCATTTTAGAGAACTGTTGTAGTTCTAGCAAACATTCCAGGTGTTAACATCTGGCCCTATCAATGTTGGTCCTATCAGCCTTCTCCATATGACCAAAGCAGATGGTAGCTGCAGTTCGGGTTGTGTCTTATACATACTGTATGGAATTTTAACTGTTGTTAGCTGCCCCAATTGTTGACAGAGGGGTGGGGTATAAATTATTATTATTATTATTATTATTATTATTATTATTATTATTATTATTATTATTACATCTGGGGGCTCACACATTACCCATTCCTGTGCTAAAGTACAAGGCAGGAGATGGCTCGGCCATTAGGCAGAGTGAAACAATCACCTTAAGGTAGCAGGTTTGGCATGTCATAAAAGTGCAGAAAATTATACTTATTCAACTTGTCATTATTTTATTTTACTGTCAGATCTGGGAAGACATGCTTATGGGATTTTCTGTCTCATTGGCCAGTATACTTAGTTGGCATTGGTATTACACACTTTGACTGGCTGAATAGTGGATTCCACTTGCTGCTTTGCCTCAAACACCAAAATGTGTATGGTCCTTCTTGGATAGTTAAACCATTTCTAAGCTTTTTAATAAAACATATCACATGGCTGGAAAGACCATGAGGTGTATCTCTTTTCTCACTTTTTGCTACCACAAGATGTGGCAATAGTTTTGAAAGAGGATTACACAGATTACTAATGGCTACTAGTCAGGATGGGTGTGTGTTACCTTCCAGGAGCACAGGTAGCATATACCTTTGGGTACCAATTGCTGTGATTTAACAACAAGTTAAGGTGTTGAGCAGGGGTTTGAGTGTTGGACTAGGACACTGGGAAACTAGGGTTTGAATTGCCACTTGGCCATGGAAACTCACTGGGTGATCTTGCGCAAGTCACATCATCTTAACCGCAGAAGAAGGCAAAGGTAAACCTCCTCTGAACAAATCTTGCCAAGAAAACTACATGAAAGAGTAGCCTTAGAGTCACCATAAGTTGGAAACAACCCGAAACATAGATCAACAAGAGAAGAATATTGATTTCATGTTCTGCTAAAGGGCTTCTCCTAGATGTAGACTGAGCAACTGCATATTGGGTAGGGAGATCGCTTCCCTAGCACATCCCCCAGAGGAAGATTTTCCCTGAGCCACTGGGAGTAATGCAGTGTCACTTCTAGTCCTGGGGATAAGCTGAAATGTGATCTGTTTACATGCTGAGCTGATTTAGGGGTAAACTTAAACCAGAGGAATCAAATTTCTGTGTTTTTATGGGGATATGAGTGGATCTTTAATGTCCATTTTTGGCCAAAAAGTTTTAAAAAATTGTGAGGGATCATGGACCATAAAATAGGCCATTGGGAACCACATGCAGCATACAGTTTCTCACCCCATCATAGACATCTGGCTGTGGGAACCAGGATGCTGGACT